AGCTTTTGTCCTCAAAAGCTTAAAGATTGAGAACGTACACAATATGACAATCAATCAAATAAACAAAATACAATATCAATCATGAAATATGAATACACTAGCTGAAACAAATGATACATGATGCATTGCTCAAATATTGCTGCCCACACACTAAAATGATTGCACTGAGGTAGGTGGTTCAAGAATCGTATACAAATTACTGTGGACAAGTAGGAGGTAGGCGCTGAAAGGTTGCTTGAAGATCTTTCGGAGTTGATGAGCATTGAAGTACGAAATCCTAAAGGTATTAAGGATAGTGATGGAGGTTTTAGTAAGCTGGTTAGTTACAATGAAGCCTGGCCAGTTAACAGAGAGGGTGGGGAAGAAGTAACCAGAAATGCGGAGGTTTTCCACAGTTAAGGGTGATTGAATATCCCAGTAAGAAGGACAGAGTGTCAGAGATATGACATGGATTGCCACACATTCAGAACCTGATGTGAGTTCAAGAACTAGACCATTCCGAGGACCTGAACGCTGTTGATAGAGAAGAAGAAGAAGGATGGAAGCAATAGCTAGGGTTATAAGGCTTAGGAGAATAGAAACATGGTAGTCAGCAAGATCAGTAAGGACAAAGCTAGCTGTACCTGAACTGGGTGGAGTGTGATCATTATAATTAAGAGCAGGAGGTAACACAGCTTTAACAGGGCCAACGCGAGTTACAAGCGTAAGCGCTGCTGAGAGTGTGCGGATTTTGAAGAACATCCAACAAACCATCATAAATGGTGGACCCGAATTCTAGATGACCGGATACACCCCTTCAAACTACCGAGAGAAGCCGCGCAGGCCTGAGCCAAGGTCCCTCCTGACCAGTTTGCTTCATCAAGCTCCAGTTTCACAGTCACCATCTACGCCGATCCTTGTGTCACCCGCTACAACATCATCAATCTCTTCAACAACAGCAGCCTCCTCATCTACATCTCCATCTACATCAACATCTTCATCAAGACCCTCCATCCGCCAGATGTCAACACCCATGCCGCACATCAAACTGCCACAGTTCTCAGGAACTGAGAATGCCTAAACGTGGTGGGATGACTTTGTTAATTTTTCAAATTTCTTCTCTTATTATGATGTGAAGAAATGTCAACTCATACCATTTTATCTAGAGGGTGCAGCCAAGCTGTGGTATCAAAATCTCCCTGAGGGTGACAGACTAGATATAACTAAGGTGAAAGAAGCCTTCACCAAAAGATTTATGAAATAATCAGCCTTTGATGTCAGTCTATTACAGTTGGCCCAGGAGCAGGAGGAATCCATCAACACCTTCATCACCCGGGTCGAGACAGCAACCATCCACCTGAAGCTGCCAGCATCTGTCATTGTGGCCGTAGCTGTAAATGGCCTTCGATCCAACATTCGTCAGTGGGTATACAACAAAGAGCCCACCAATCTACAGGAGGTCCGTCACCAGGCAGAGCTGGCCCAGAAATCACTGGTAAGCGTGCAGTCATCAGAGGTCAACATGATGGCAAAAGTTGACCACCTCTCCAGTCTGGTTGCCACCCTTATCTCGAAGACTGAGGCCCAAGCAGTCTAGGCTGCCTCTCCAGCTCCCCAGGCCTAATATCAACAGCAACAGCAACAGCAACAACCGAGATATCAGCCACATGAGTCCTGTCAACGGCAACGACCACGGCTGTCTAATCAACTACCACCTCCATTCCACCAGGCCCAACAACAGCGCCGCTACAGCCAGTATGAACAGCATCAACAACGACCCCGCTTCACACCCCCTCCATTCCTCCAGCAGAGATGTCTTGGTTGTGGTATGTATTGCTCAAATCGTTCTGCATGCCCACACTTTCAAACAATTTGCTCATACTGTAACAGGGTAGGACATCATTCCAATGATTGCATGAGAGCTCATAATTCACAGAATAGAGCTCCCAGGCAATAGGGACTCGCGCCTGATTCTCAGTTCACTGAGGTCAGGCACAAGAAACCGTTGGTCTCACTTGCGGCTCCCTTACTCAAGAACACAGTCCTTGTAAAGGTGCAGCAAGTGAAGACAACAGCACTTGTTGACACAGGGGCCTCTATCAGCTGTGTGAGCTTGCGCTTCCTTCATAAAGTAGGCTACAATGAAAAACATTTGTCAGACTCCCATTTAACAGAAATTGTAGGAGTAGGGGGCGAAATTCACAAAGTGCTAGGTAGCATATCATTAGATGTCAATATTGGCCATATCTGTCTGTCTCAAACCTTCCATGTCTTCTCTTCCCTCGATCACTCCCTTATCTTAGGCATGGACTTTCTGGACTCGAACAAAGCAACAGTTTGTCTGGCCCGCAAATGTCTGTATATCCATGAAGGTCTTATTTCAGTAGTTCTAGTGGAAACCAGTGCAGGATATGCTAGGTGCAGGAAGTCTGATACAATTCCCTCGCGTTGTCAAGTAGATATCCCGGTCCATATTTCACGTTGTAGACCAGGCTCCATTCTCCTACTTGAGCCAGTAATTTGACACTTTCGTATTCAAACCGTCACAATATCTAGAATTAGCCTTGGGGAATTAGCTCGGGATCGGGCACCACCTTCAAAGAAACCAAACAAAGTGTCTATGGCCAGCTCCTTTATTGGGGATTTCTCGACAGTCAGTCACATTTAAAATAAGAAATATTTTTACATATAAAGTACAAAGTCATATAGAACATTTACAGTTTCCATAAAAGAAGCAGTTATCACAATAGTGCGTGATATTAAACAATGATTATACATAAGAGTGTAAGTGTCATGATATACCAATGTATCATGGGCTAAGTGATAAAACAACCAATTACAAATAACAATGTTAAAGTCAGTCTACAAAGATACCTGTGAACAAAGCTTCCATGTTCTTATGTGATACTTATTTTCAGCCACTCCTAATTATGATTACGCCTTGCTAAATGGGAGTGCCATAAGATATGTCTTATTTACGTATAAACCTAGTTCAACTCAATATCGGTATCGCATATACATGTACGCAGATTTAAATATAAATAACAATATGTGTTGGCTGTACTTCTGAGCATATATCATTCATTGTCTTATGCTGGTATATGTTATACTTGAAGGCCATATCTATAATTCATCTAAACTACCGCAGCAAACAAACTATATCTGATAGCATCCACATACACTGAGTTAACGGGCCCATTAACGAATGTCCATTCACATTACTTATATAATACTTATGGTATAATATATGGATATATGTACATTTTTAGGCATTGCTGGTAATGTAGACATGTTTGCTGAAGCTGTGTTACAAATGCATTATGCTCAGACCTATGTAAGTACAAGAGAGTTACCTATCTTTTTTGTACATCGCTAACAGATTAACTAAATGATTACATGGATATTATTACTGATTTTAGCTCTGGCTTAGTTGTGATATTAGCATAAATATGTGTGATGTGAATACATCATATATTAGCTACAGAAATTAACGTTTTCTGCCAGGCTAGATCCATCAAATAACTCCGATAAAAATTATTTAAAACAGTCTGGATTCTGTTTATGAACAAGTAATACATGCAATGTATGGTTCATCATAGAATCCTTACATTAAAAGATAATGTACATACCTCGTGTGACATAAAAGGTCTGATCAAAGTGAAATAGTTTGTCTGCATTTACGCGACATTTTCACATATACAAAATAACTGAATCACACTAAAATATCAACACGCAGATAAAATACACAGCTTGCTACCACGGCACCCGAATGTTAACATCTTATTTCCGACTCGGAACATGTTTGATATTCAATATATGCTATACTGTGGAGTTAATACTTAAACGATAGTTTTGTCTAAACCTAACGCACGTACATTTGACAGATAAGTCCGTTAAATAGATACAACTCACTTAATATATTTGCACTTATACACGGTCAATAACATAAGATTAAACACCTTTACAGCTGGTAATATTGCTCCATATACGATACAAATTATAAAACAATTTAACTTATAACTTTAGAGAAATAGTAAGGTGAACATGACTTACCTTCAACGAAACCAAACAAAGTGTCCATGGCCAGCTTCTTTATTGGGGATTTCTCGACAGTGAGGTACCCCCGGGGCTAGCCAGTATATATACTCTAGACACCTTGAATGGTCACGAATTTACTGCATGTTCAATTATCAGCTTGATAAGAAAATTTGAGTTCCTGCGCCGAGAATAGGGATTAAGGCTTGCCTAAGAAGTTTGACCAAGTGATGTCCACATAAGTTGAATAATAATTGATGAAGTAGTCCGAAAATATTGATATGAGTTGGACGTATCAGCAAACGTGTGACAAGCGCTCATTGCGATAGAGGCTGAGACACGTACAGATAGATAATACTGACCATGCTCCAAGGATGTTATGTAATTTTCTAGATAGCTGCGACCTTCACATGTGAGACTGATTGAATACAGCACCTTACATTTAACTTAATATAACACAATAAAGACTATTACCACAGTTAACTATTATATAAATATTGAGGAAAACATGACCAATTTTACAACTATGAGACTATATATATATATATATATATATATATATATATATGACGTCAACCCTGTCTTCATTCTACATGTTTACTTGTACCCCAGGACTATGGGACAATGTAACGTATACGTTGTATCAACAAACCCGTCTGTAAGGCCGGCCTCGCAAGTGATCGAGTTTGTTGGTGTTGAATATTATTGTTACATTGTCCTGTGTTTTGTGCGTCAAATCATCTTAGTTCTCTTAGTTCTTAAAACGATTTTTCACGTCTTAATTCCAGCAAGAAACTGCATACACCGCTAACTACCATGCTACCGTATACCGGTACGTTAGTGGAATTGCCAACACGGACTGCTCCCTCTGCCACGAGGGCATCTTTATCAAGTCATGTGTTTCCTCGTCCTAGTTTTGATTGACGACGACGGAAATCATGGTCAGACTGCTCCTTCAGTGACAACTCAAACCACAACCAACTTACCCTCGTCCTCGTCTAGCGCAGCGTCGTGCGACGGTGTACCGGTGTATGATCAAGACAGTTCCCTGTATACTTGTACCGGTGTAGGATCAATTGCGGCTTCCCGTGAAATGTTTACAGGTATGTCTGTCAAACTGTCATTGAAAACTGTACTTGTGTTCGGCTGATTTTGACCACTGTGAAATAACTTAACGGGGAAGCTTTTCCCCGGCTGAAACGGTGTAGCCACTTAATGCGTACCTTGTTGACTGAATTATTTAAGGTTAACCAGGAAGCCTATATGAGATGCATATACACTTGTTTTTAAATTCCCTGCCTTATCAGCTCAACCGGGCTGTTGGACGATTGACTCGAACTGACCAACAAGACAGATTACAAAATTCAGTATATAAATATTGTGAACATTTAATGTACAAACACACGTGTCACATTAATTTACATATCTTTACTAGCCATGGCTAGTCAGGTGTACAATCGACACCCAGAACTTCATACATTTGTACTTGTCAAAAAAAGCCGTCACATGAGCATCGGGGTTATAAGGTGAGACCGAGCTAATTGTGCCCGACGACATTGATCGCGGCTCGCTTATTTGCAGCAAAAACAGCGGCGCCAAAGAGCATTAATTTATTACAAGAAATTGGTATGATTTGAGGCTCTCGCTTGTGATTTATTTAAAGAAAGACAATGATTAGTAGCATGATATAGATCATAACAGGTTTAATTGTTACTAATTCGGCAGGTTGCGTTAGCCATCCAAGCATTTATGACAAAACATTTACACGGAACCATCTTTTTAACTGTAAAAGGCGACTATGCTTGTAGTAAGAGGCGACTAACGGGATCGGATGGTCAGGATCGCTGACTTTACTGATGCATGTCATCGTATCCCAATTGCGCCGATCGTTGCTCAAAATGTCAATCACTGAATTGTCTGGTCCAGACTCGATTATTTACAAACCGCCGTCATATACCTGGCATATTGCTGAGCGCGGCATTAAACAACAAACAAATAAACAATCAAACATAAGAATACGACTCTGCGATACGAAAAATGAACCAAGCCGTTTTGTGTTCTGACCGGTCGCCGTTTCCAACTGGTGCGTATTGGGATTATTACAATACACGTGGTGACAAAATGTGTAAACTGGTTCAATCGTCGATACGCGACGCAAGCTTAACAGTTTTAGCCAACATGTAACGTAGAAAAAAACGATATCATTCAAACTGTACCATATCCAGTTACAGGTGCGCATGCGTAACATCCAGAGGGTTATTAATTACGAATGCAAATAAACATAGATACTCTCAGTTTGGCCTTATTTTCTCTCCTGTCGATTGTCCTTCCACGCCGTCTATTCGGTTCTCACCACAGATCTTCCATAAATAGTTGTTTCCATGATTGTAAACAAAACTTTCAACACTAATAATTCACTGTAACAAATGATATATATTGGGATAACACTCTTAGTAAAGAACAGATTCTCGTACTTTTTTGGGTTGAGTCCCGTCCGGGATTCGATCCCACACCGCCAGAGTGAGGCATCTAATAGCCAAGACATGACTCAAACCAAAACAGTACGAGAATCTTTACTTTACTAAGAAAGTGTTATCCCAAATATAACATTTGTTACATTTGACCACTTTCTAAATGGCATTGTGAATTCATAACTAACGATTCACTGCAAAAAAAGAAAGAATTTATTTCTATTTCCAACAGTTGTTTTTAGTATCTGTAACAAAGAATCGCAGCAGTGTCAATACAAAAGCTGTCATCCATACACTTTCTTGTCATTACTTCAGTCAACTTCAACTATGGCAATAAAGTAATTGACATTCACTCGCCATTGGTTAAAGTATGCCGGGCGTGATGCGACTCTCTGAGTACATTCTATTAATCAGTCCTTTGTATTCATACGCACATTGTTCTCATTGTATGGCTGGTTTCGATGCTCATAATGTCTTGTCCATACTCGATTACTTACAGACCGCCGTCATATAGCTTGAATATTGCTGAATGTGGCGCTAAACAACAAACAAATAAAACATTGACCCTTGAGTGCATTCTCCACCTGGCAAAAATTACCAGAGCTGCATCATATATAAGCATCATGATTGCAGTGTCCGAACGATTAGCGGTGGTACTCAGATCTGTGGTCTGTCTCAGATTTGTGGTAGTCTCTGTAGTCTGAACTTGATAGACATGAATATGACCGGTCATCACCTTGTTTCCTCTTGGTGTAGGACTACAGAACGTGATAGACATAAAGATGACCGGTCATCACCTTGTTTCCTCCTGGTGTAGGACTGCAGAACGTGATAGACATAAAGATGACCGGTCATCACCTTGTTTCCTCCTGGTGTAGGACTGCAGAACGTGATAGACATGAAGATGACCGGTCATCACCTTGTTTCCTCTTGGTGTAGGACTGCAGAACGTGATAGACATAAAGATGACCGGTCATCACCTTGTTTCCTCCTGGTGTAGGACTGCAGAACGTGATAGACATGAAGATGACCGGTCATCACCTTGTTTCCTCCTGGTGTAGGACTGCAGAACGTGATAGACATGAAGATGACCGGTAATCCCCTTGTTTCCCCCTGGTGTAGGACTACAGAACTTTATAGATATGCAGATGACCGGTAATCCCCTTCACGATCTCGGGCATAATTTTCTTGTCCTCCAGCTTCCATAACCCACGGTTCCCCAGGCTGAGGAGATTCGTACGGAGGACATCACTCTCGAAGATGTAGTCGAAGTGACTCATCAAGATGTGGCCTCCTACAAAACAGGCGATAAATGGAAACAGAGAGAACAGATACAAAAGCAGTCAAATGATATCCCTATGGTATTCAGTGGTATTAATTGTATATATTTTCCATGTAGGCCCCATTCCCGTGTGCAGGGCTAGAATTTCACATTCAGTATACTAGTATCCATGACATTGTACAATTAGGCATGACACAGACTTGTCGAAATGAGAATCGGGCCATTATCATGTCATTTTCATCTTTCCTCTGATTTGTATGACCAAGACTCGATACTTTTTACAGTGAAATATTTGGAATACTGTCAACTCACTGGATCACGATATTGCGAATTTCCTCTGAGTATTTTATAGGCTCTTATACCTGTGTATGAACTATAGGTTGCGTTAAGGAGATTGACGTTGCCGGAAAGCTGAAAGACCATTTTTATCGCCACATTTTGTCCTGCTCTACTGGTGGCATACACATACAAAGACTAGTCAATTGTTCACCTGACATCACATGGGAACATAAAGTACAAATCGAAATAAGGAATTACATCTGATATCATTTTGGCCACTGATGCCTCAAATTTGGAAATGTCCTCCACTTGTCTATCACAAAACAGCAGATGAGTGAGTGAGTTTGGTTTAACGCCGCTTTGGACAGTAACACAGTCGTATAACGACGTGTCAGCTACAGACTGAGGTGATGCAGGTTCTAGTTGTTCACTGTTGTGAAACGTTCAAGCACGGTTATGGTGCTGTGAAGCCAAGTATCATAATCGGGCGATTCTTGGATTCGAACCCATGAACCTAACGAAAGTACGTGGCACAAATCTGTAGCGTGAACTGTGGTGTCAGCGACCTCTTGGATCACGGTGCCTCAACATACATGAATAGAATAACTGCTGACATATTGCACGAATTCTGGGCTTTATGTTGGTCGAATTAATTGTTGGTTTACATTTGAGTGGACGAGTTATTTAGCGGTATGCGGGGACGAGTTATGTCCCTTTAACGGAGGTGAAAAACACATGTTGCGAAAAATGGACGATTCGATGCGCTGCCATGTGTTTTAAAGCTTTCAATCACGCTTTTGTATGTTTTTTGGGCTAGAGGCTGAATAAAATTGTCTGTCCATGTGTTTCAGAACATTGCGATTGCGAGCGGCATGTTCAGCTTGTCAAGTCAAACTGTATGATTAAGAGGATGTGTGATGCTCTTGACCCACTACAACGTGTTTTTTACCGGACATAGACGACAGGTCCCTGTAATAAAACCATTAAAAAAATATTTGAAGTGTGATGAATCAGTGAGTACATACCATGATGTCCACAGGAGGTGAAGTTTTAATCATGCGAATCAAGAACCGTTACACTATGAATGCGACCATAAAAATAGTTGTTTTATTTAATTTCTATTTTTTTTCGTAGTGGTCAGCGGAGGAACACAGCAAAAGCAATTTATAGGGATGTCAATAGAAAGGTTTCAACAACAGGAACTATGCATCTCAAAGCATCACGAGTCCTGTCCTAGTGTTAAAGGGAATCATATTTGTCGCATTTTCCACCATATGGGATTGTGAAATATATACATGACGAGGCTTTAGGGATGATTAAACGATATGCTGTATTTAACAAGGTGCAGTCTGTCAGTCAGTTAGGTCAGCAACTAACTCACTCACCTGATTTCGTAACACGCGCCAACTCCTCCAGGGCCTTGACGGGCAGTTTCTTGAAAAATTCGGAACTCAAGCCGACAACTGTCACTACAGTGTATGTGTCTGAAATCAACACAATTGGGAATTCGTTATTTTATCTAAATACAAAATACAGTTTTGTTTAGTCCTCTGTAGTGGATCCATGATCCATAAAGTCAAGAAGTGAACAAAACACATAAAGACTTCACTCAGGGTGAAACGTCACAGGTCTCAGAAAGGGGTGCCCGTCCGCAAGTGGTCTTCTGGATAACAGGTTAGGACTCACCATCAGAAATATCCAGCGTGTTGTCTGCAAGAATGTCACAGATGTATCGCTCATATAAGTTGTTTTTCTTGGCCTGTTCCAGCATCCCCTCAGACGGATCGAGTCCATCAATGTGCAGGAATCCGTGTTTCCGCATCTACAATATATTATATACAGAGTCTGAACCAACAGTATAGAATACTATCATAAAACGATACAAGCAGATTAAAGGTTTCATTGCTCGTGAATGAAAATTGGAGTTATTGTATTTAGAAAAGGTGGCACTCTTCGATCTCATGTGAAATTGTATTTTCTACAGATACCTAGAACTATTGTTTACACCCAAACGTGTATGGACTAATGGGGAGAGGGATAGGGGTGGGGTGGGGGGTGGCAGGGGTCGGACTAGTGCTTCAAGAAATGCCATGTTTGTCTCTGGACGCAACTGATGTTGTTGCTAATTATTTTTCAACAGAATCCCCCCTGAAGCCCACACACTTCCGTTAACGATGTTGCAGTGAGTGTCTGGATTCTACTGGTCCTTCACAGCAGAAATGATTCATCATCATTCGCATAATGCTTGTCAGACAGTTCTTTCCTTCGGTTTGGGAAGAGATTGAAATCTGATGAATATGGAAGATGTTCAATGACTTCAAAACCACAGTCATGCAGCGATAGCGACAACAAACTTGTGCACTGTTATTGTGGAACATCACACCTTTAATGAGTTTTCCACAACATTTACCCTTGATATTCTCACGCTGTAACTTGGCAGATTAGTATAATATTGGCCATGAATGGTGTGTTTTCGGGAGGTACTCCACCAGTGGGATCCCAGAAAATCGAGGCCATAATTTGCCAGCGGATGGAACAGACTTTGCCTTCTAAGGAGGAGGGTGCGCTACAAATTGCCAAACAAAATCAGCTGGGTCTACTCCAAAACGACGTAGTTTTGTCGAGAGATGATGAACCTGGAACGTTGATGGGATCAGAAGCCTTGGAACCCCCCGTGCTGAAACATTTGTACCCAGCATATTCCTCACATATTCTGAACTCTCTCATGAAAGATTCCCGCTATATTTACCATGCAGATTCGTCGATCATCAATAATCATATCAACATTATCCTTGGTGGATGCACATGAAGATTTTCCTGATCGTTGACCATCTTCGAGACTCGCTCTTCCCCTCTTAACAGTGGCAAAGGAAGAAGCACCGTCCCCTAAAGATGACACCATGTCCGCATAGTTGGGTTGGAGATTTTTGTTATCAGCGCGGTACCCATTGTGTCCATTTCATCAGAGAATACCAAGTCTCTTTGTTGCCTGTTGAGGTATGCTGCCTGGTTGTGTAGCTGGTTCAAAGGCAGCCTATAAACTGTGTTGGTTCGAATCTCGGACGGGACTCGACCCAAAAAAGTACGTGAATCTTTACTGTACTAAGAAAGTGTTATCCATAATATAACATTTGTTACATTTGACCACCTTCTAAATGGCATTGTGTGTTCATAGCCTATGAAGTTAATACATGCAAAATGTTAGCTGTACATATCCTTCGTAGTTAGACTCAGAACTTTTAAGCCGACCTCGTATATGTGAACGCCTCTACTTGCACGAGAGAAGTCGTGGTTTATATGTGAGGTTTCCGACCTGGAAATGAGGTTATTACGTGAAGGATAAAACACGAATCCGAGTTAAATACTTTGGATTGTAAAACTCGAGGGAAGAAACGCGAGGGACAAGCTTGAGGTATTGCTCCCGAGTCTCTCCTGGTAACGAGCACGAAATCAAAAACAAAATACCATGTGGTGGTCGGGTTCGAATCCCAGGATCGGGAGCTACTTTAAGAAAAGTTAATCCAGGTATGACATGTTATTGAATGGAGGTAGATGGTTGTGAATACTTAACAGAGAAGAAACAGGTTATTAGATTCAAAATATGAAGTATATAACTATCTGCTGCAACTGAGCCACAGATTTATAAATAAAATTTGTAAAAGCAGTGGTTTCGTGGACTTCACCCCTTCACTGAGCGCAGTTGAACCCGGAAGTAAACCCATCAGATAACATTACACAAATGTCAAAAACCGAGAACAATAGATGACGTCACAGAAGCTATCTAAGTATAGGTAACTACACCTACCTGGACGGAGGCCAACCCCGTTCCAGCAGCAACGTCCAGGATGTTGATCTTCTCCTTGCTGCCAGGATACAGTGATGCTAGACTGTCTCCCATCCACTTCGGCATTTTGTAATCCATCATACCCAGCACCTAGGTGACATTTGAAGAAACATCTACAAGTATACATTTACAGAAAGGGAAATTAGAAATATAAGTATACTTAAACTAGTTTCTTAATTACCCAAGCCGCGAAGAACTGGAGTACTACTCAGAGCTCCAGATAAGCTTTTGGTGTTGTGGGTATTTTACCCATGCATTTTAAAATCATTGGGTATCAGTAATTCTATCTGCGTAAAATAAAAACTATTCAAATTTCTGTTACCCACTAGTTTTTACACATGTGGGTATTTAAGTTAAATATTTAAAAACACTATTCATCCAGTCCCTGCAAACTGGTGTCGTGTGGGTTTGAGAGCTTTATATGACTCCAAAATACCACGATACTTCCACACGAAAGTGTGATGGCAAATGATCATGATGTGACTGTCATCGTGGAGTTTGGCAAGGTTGACGGAATGCCCGTTTATAATTTCAAAATAAGTTGCTGATTTGCTAATCGAATACGCAGGGTTACTTCACAATATTTTGATGATACGCTCAAATATTATTTTTGTAGCGTATCTGTAATGTTCGTTGCGTATTTGATATGCTTGGATTATATTTTACTGCGTATTTCTGCATTTCTGATGCGTATTTCACGCAGATACGCAGCTTATCTGGAGCTCTGATTGCTGGTACGGTTTAAAGCAACAATTGCTCACTCACTCTAATTACCGCCTTGCATTGTACTGTTATTCTAATTTAACACCAGGTGCATACTGATAATCGTATACATACGTAACAATAAGGTACCAGGGCAATTGGTATTTCTCATATCATATAGGCAATAGATATATTTAGACCTATGTATGTTTGATTGAAGTTGAAAAGGTCACAATGTCGTGAAATTAGCTTGAAGCCAGCGGCATAGACAGAAATGGATTGAATGAGCGAGTTTGGTGTAACGCCGCTTATAACAGGATTTTAGTTGTATGAAATATAAGCGCGTCAGCTTGGTGTGGGAAGAAAACACGTGGCCATCCTAGTCCTTTACCTCTTTGGTGAAACCTTTGAACACGGGTATAGCGCAGACATACTTAGAAACGGTGTGAACCATATCAGTGCGAAGCATGATCATAGGTTTCAGACAAAGGGCACAACTTTGCATAGAGAAGTGTGGCACCTTAGACGACTCATCTTCCCGAGGCAAGGGAGTTAAATGACTGTTAAAGTCCAGTTTCCACCCTTGACGAACTAGGCAAGAATCAATGGGGTCGATCGTAGCGCCACCAGTGACTATTACGAGTTATGTCCCTTATATGGCCCTCCTATTGACCAATCAGATTCCGATTCTCATATCACTTGCATTTGCTTCAAACAAAACACGTCAAGGCGATCTGATCGATAATCAAGATCTACAATGTAAAAATCGGGTCTCACTTCGCGAAGTGGATCAAATCCCGTGAGCACCTTTATTAAAAACATGAAAAAAATGGGAAAAGTTGAGTTGGCGGTACACATGCTTTATAAATCCTGCAATCGACCGAAATCTGAACGGCAGACTCGTTAGCCCAGCCAAAATATAACTCCATAATTCTAACCTAGTTCGGCAAGGGTTGAAACTGAATGAACCCTTGCCTCGGGAAGATGTGGACGACTGGGCCAGCCGTTCTCCCAACCATACTGCTTGTACCTTAACAGAATACTGTTACACTATACTTTTGGAACAAATGTACGTGACCGAAAAACTGTAGGCAGTCACTGCTAAAAGACCCGTCAGTATTCACACGTCTCCGTAACTATTGAACCACAAATTGTGTGAATCGTTACCTTAGATATAAAGACAAAATTCATGGAATCAATATCAGTGTTCCTTAAATATTTTTGCTGAGTAGGTGACCATCTGCTTTACGTTATTTAAATGAGGACATATTTACCATATCGTACTTGTCACTCATGTGGTCGAACCTCTTAACAACAGTTTCATTGTCCAGACCCTTTTCTATCAACGAATTGAATTCTCTTTTCGCTTCTTTCACTTCCTCTTCAGAGTATGTTCTTTCCGACATCTTTGCAACTGTAAGAACAAAACATAAAGCCACGTCTGAGTTTAACGAAGCCAATGTTTTACTGATATATGCTGATATATTTTTTTGATATATGCTGCCCTTTGTAGATATAGAATAATGTCCCTTTTCCTTTCAGGCTATATGTAAGTGTCGAAAGATATTGTTCGCTATTGTTAATTATTTAAAAGATAACAACAACTTGAGCACTTGAGCGACCAAAATCATAATTAACGTTTAATATTTTCCTACGATAGAAGGATATGTATTTTTTTAATTAGCGGTTAGATTATTTTTATGGAAAAAAACCCCACCTACCCCGAATCAAATGGGTGCTCCCTAAACGAATTGACATTTCATATTTCATCGTTTTCATTTGTGACGGCGAATAACTAGCATCAGATTTATGTGGGTGGCTGTGTTTGTACTTGCCTGGACGGTTTTATAGTGCTACCCTACTGACATACCAAGCCGTTGTTTCACATGAATACCCCAGTGAGTTAGTTAAGTTATTTATTTTGTTTAATGTGGTGTAATGCCGCTTACAAAAGTATTCCAGTTATATCGCGGCGTGTCAGCTACCCTACTGACATACCAAGCCGTTGTTTCACATGAATACCCCAGTGAGTTAGTTTAGTTATTTATTTTGTTTAATGTGGTGTAATGCCGCTTACAACAGTATTCCAGTTATATCGCGGCGTGTCAGCGTAATGTTGGAGAAAAGGCCGAAGAGATGCAGATCTGAGACGTTTTCCACTTCGGTGAAACCCACGAGGATGGGTACATGCTGCTGAGAAACCTAGTAATATAATCGGGGCGAATCGGGATTCGAACCCACAATCATTGGTTTCGAGAGTGCCCAGGGGAAGCAACTCTGCACAGCGAATTGTGGCCCCTTGACGACTGAACCAGCCGTGCCCCCTACTGACAGCGTGTTCATGAACTGAAAAAAAATATATACAATGGCTTTGCAGTGTACTCACTAGACAAATCTGACCTGCATATTGCACTATTGATATTAGATACTGGACCGACTTCTCGGTCTCGAGCCGTACGGTGCGTGAAGCCCATTTCTGGTGTCCCCCGCTGTGATAATTTTGGAATATTGCTGAAAGCGGCGTAAACATAAACTCTCTCGTTCCTCCTCGGTTTTGTGGATAGAGCGAGTCAGTATACTGTGTCTGAGTGGAGTATCAATGTTAAACCGCGATAGATGTCAGTGAGCCAGCACTACAGAACAGGCATTTGTCCGTAATAGTACAGGCACACACACACACACACACACACACACGCACGCACGTACCCACCCTCGCGTCACTTTATAAGTGCAATAATCTTGAATGCGACGTTAAACATCATTTCATATGCATCTCACTTCACAAGATACTGACAATTTCAAAGTGTCCTGGGAACAAAATGCGTATTTCGTTTCATGTGAATTATCCTGAAAGCATGGTTTTTGAATCACACTGTTCAAAACACGGCTTTTGAACCACACTGAAAGCACACATTGTGATTCATTATGATTGAAAAGTATATTTCAATTCATCAATTTCTATTGGTATTTTGTTAAACCCGGCGGTAAACCGCCCAATACCTTCTCACCTGGTGTACGAGTGTCTGGTTGATGCGTGCACATTCAGATAGGTCGTCCCAGCTGATCTAGGCTGCGGCAAGGAATGTTACTCCACTGCGTGCTGGTTTCGCCTCTCGCCTGGCGGACTGTGTTACAACATCGAAGTGCGCGATGTCAGACTGCTTCATGAACTCAAAACGAGGACGTTCACGCCGTGATCACGTGCGCAGATTATTCTGCAGTGGAGCGAAACCATTTGCCAAATGATTTGGAAACACAATCGGTACATCCTGTCGTAGACTAACGCTTAGTCACTGATGGTTTATAATTTTGATAAAAACAAGCAACTACATTAAAAATGATAAAGCCCCAATGAGATGGGATTCAGAACCTGTGGTAAAGCTAGACTTGTTTCATTTAGGGCTATAGCAACATGGGTTGGACGGGAGGAAACATAATATGGTTCAGGGACTGAGACCGACTACAGCATTATCATTTAGTTTCATTATCACAATCCGGGTGTGGGGCGACAGTCCGCTGACTACATTTAGCAGTGTGTGCACCGCACAATAGCCCTTTAAATAAACATCTGCATGACATTGTTATTTGATTCCAGCTCGTGTCTATAAAGTAAGTACGCAGCACACTGCCGATACGTAACCGGATTGTAATCACTTGAACAAAACTCAGTAATGTTTATCGCAAGCAATTTGGATATTTCTTGAAAAGCGCACTCTGGATTTTTTGTCATTTCTGCAAATAATATTCTTTTTCGCCGAAATGGCTTGTTATAACTTTATTAGTATTTGTACACAAACAGCTATATTTGTTAATTAATAATCGCGACATTTCGTCATTCCATTTCAAGTGGCGAAGACTACAGAATCTGTTATCGTAAAAAAATATTCGGACCCGTGAAAGTCCGGGTTAAAATAAGTCTACAGCAACCCATGATTGCCGTAACAGGCGACTGTGCTTGTCGTAAGAGGCGACTAACGGGATCGGGTGGTCAGACTTGCTGACTTGGTTGATGCATGTCATCGTATCCCAATCGCGTATATCGATGCTCATGATGTCAATCACTAGATTGTCTGATCCAGATTTGATTTTTTACAAACCGCCGTCATATAGCTGGAATATGAGTGCGGCGTTAAACAGCAAACAAACAAACAAACAAACATAAAAAGGCAAGCTCAATTCAGAGCATTCAGTTCAGGGTATTATGATCTAAGATCTATAAAGAAATATTTTGAAAGTATAACAATATATCTAGGTCTTGAATTTCCTTCCCTTCACCAAGTCTTGATATTATGATCCATTATCTTAACCAAACAGAAACGTTTGCTGCGTTCAAGCCCGTGTTGTGCATATGTACCTAAAATGATAGATTACTCAAACATGGGCTCACCGGCAACAAGCCTTCCATATCGCCACTTAATAATCAGGTCACAAGTTTTCCACTGAACTTCCAACATAACAGGCCACTGGCTGTAAGCTTTCCATACGACAGACCAAATACTAGGTCACTGGCGACAAGCTTCCAACTGTCACTGGTCCTGACATAAGCATCCAAACATGCCGTAAACCTTGCCGCGTCTACCGTCGCTGTACTGGGAATGATACACGTGAAGAATGCCGAACGGACACAACAACGAATGTTTAATAAATGTCGTCCTTCAACGTTGAAATGACATTGATTTTGAGTTAACTTGAACATCGAGATGGTGTTGAATCATTGAATCAACATCAGATATTAATGTTGAAACAATGTCAGATTGAAACATACTTTCCATATCGAAAGACCAATGTTGAATCAATGTTGAAACAATGTCAGATTTAAACATACTTTCCATATCGAAAGGCCAATGTTGAATCAATGTGGAAACAATGTCAGATATAAACATACTTTCCATACCGAAAGGTCAATGTTGAATCAATGTGGAAACAATGTCAGATTTCAACATACTTTTCATATCGAAAGGTCAATGTTGAATCAATGGTGAATTAATGTCAGATTTAAACATTCTTTCCATATCGAAAGGTCAATGTTGAATCAATGTTGAAACAATGTCAGATTTAAACATACTTTCAATATCGAAAGACCAATGTTGAATCAATGTTGAACCAATGTCAGATTTAAACATACTTTCCATATCGAAAGGTCAATGTTGAATCAATGTTGAAACAATGTCAGATTTCAACATACTTTCCATATCGAAAGGCCAATGTTGAATCAATGTGGAAACAATGTCAGATTTCAACATACTTTCCATATCGAAAGGTCAATGTTGAATCAATGTTGAAACAATGTCAGATTTTAACATACTTTCAATATCGAAAGGTCAATGTTGAATCAATGTTGAAACAATGTCAGATTTAAACATACTTTCAATATCGAAAGGTCAATGTTGAATCAATGTGGAAACAATGTCAGATTTAAACATACTTATAAACATATCGAAAGGTCAATGTTGAATCAATGTTGAAACAATGTCAGATTTCAACATACTTTCCATATCTAAAGGCCAATGTTGAATCAATGTTGAAAACAATGTCAGATTTAAACATACTTATAAACATATCGAAAGGTCAATGTTGAATCAATGTTGAAACAATGTCAGATTTAAACATACTTTCCATATCGAAAGACCAATGTTGAATCTATGGTGAAACAATGTCAGATTTAAACATACTTTTCATATCGAAAGGTCAATGTTGAATCAATGTTGAAACAATGTCAGATTTAAACATACTTTCCATATCGAAAGACCAATTTTGAATCAATGTTGAAACAATGTCAGATTTCAACATACTTTCCAAATCGAAAGGCCAATGTTGAATCAATGTTGAAACAATGTCAGATTTAAACATATTTTCCATATGGAAAGGCCAATGTTGAATCAATGTTGAAACAATGTCAGATTTAAACATACTTTCAATATCGAAAGGTCAATGTTGAATCAATGTGGAAACAATGTCAGATTTAAACATACTTATAAACATATCGAAAGGTAAATGTTGAATCAATGTTGAAACAATGTCAGATTTAAACATACTTTCCATATCGAAAGGCCATTTTTGAATCAATGTTGAAACAATGTCAGATTTAAACATACTTATAAACATATCGAAAGGTCAATGTTGAATCAAGGTTGAAACAATATCAGATTTAAACATACTTTCCATATCGAAAGACCAATGTTGAATCAATTGTGAAACAATGTCAGATTTAAACATACTTTCAATATCGAAAGGTCAATGTTGAATCAATGTGGAAACAATGTCAGATTTAAACATACTTATAAACATATCGAAAGGTCAATGTTGAATCAATGTGGAAACAATGTCAGATTTAAACATACTTTCCATATCGAAAGGCCAATTTTGAATCAATGTTGAAACAATGTCAGATTTAAACATACTTATAAACATATCGAAAGGTCAATGTTGAATCAAGGTTGAAACAATATCAGATTTAAACATACTTTCCATATCGAAAGACCAATGTTGAATCAATTGTGAAACAATGTCAGATTTAAACATACTTTCCATATCGAAAGGTCAATGTTGAATCAATGTTGAAACAATGTCAGATTTAAACATACTTTCCATATTGAAAGGCCAATGTTGAATCAATGTTGAAACAATGTCAGATTTAAACATACTTTCCATATCGAAAGGCCAATGTTGAATCAATGTTGAAAACAATGTCAGATTTCAACAAATTTTCAAATATCGACAGGGCAATGTTTAATCGATGTTTGTTTTCAACATATTTTCAGATATTGATAGGCTAATGTTGAAACAATGTTGATATATTGTTTTTCAACCTCAACCTCAGATCAACCAAATTTCAACACTGTAACATTGATGTGGAAAATACTTGTGAAGGGCGATGTCAGGCCCAGATGAGGATTCAGAAGTTGAAAATGACATACGTGAGCAGTACTCGTCAAGGGCGGATCCAACATGTTTAAAAGGGACGGATCCAACATGTTTAAAAGAAACGGGTCCAAAATAACAACATCTTCTCTCGGGGGACTATAACATAGTATACATGGTTTTCGGCAACCAATGTTTGCCGTAAAAGGCGACTATGCTTGTCGTAAGAGGCGACTAACGGGATCGGCTGGTCAGGCTCGCTGACTTGGTAGATGCATGTCATCGTATCCCAATTGCGTTGATCGATGCTCATGATGTCAATCACTGGATTGTTTGGTCCAGACTCGATTATTTACAGACAGCCGTCATATAGCTTGAATATTGCTGAGTGCGGCGTTAAACAACAAACACAAAAAACATAAACTTGTTTTTTTAAAAGGGGTGGACCCCTCCCTTCGTGGATTCGTCTGTGTTAGTTGTTGATTCAACGCCCTATTGGGTTTGGTTTGCTGATTCACTGTGGGGACAACAGTGATATCCAAAGTCTTAAGTAGGTTCTACCAAAGGCAGAATCCATTCTACGTTACCGATTAAATCTTAACCATGCATTACGCGGGGAAATATGGTATAAATCAAAGGGAAAATAGCTTCAGAGTTACAAGATTAGGAACAACTAAAATAAACCTGAATAATTTACATTAATATTCCCTGTTTTCAATATATGCAGATATGAACGATTTGTATGCTGCTCATCCTGCTGTTAATGATGCTGTTACACCAAGTTCTATATTCACATCACCGTCGGGCGCTGTTATAAACTCATTGTCAGTGTTAGCGCGAAACCAATTCAAAATACAATAAGATTATATAGACAGAATTTTCACATGATCCCTAACACTTTGACAATTTTTCCGTCGTCTATTTGTAAAAGAATTCTGAAAATTGTATTGGACTTGTGGGTAATTGAAATAGGACCTTATGGGTAATTGAATAGAAAGTGCATGTACATGCTTTTCTATTTTGTTAACAATTGCATATAACAGGTTACATTTGGTCTAGTACACTACTGCCTAGAAGTTCATTCCCCTTACACGCATTGAGCAATGTGTACTAGAAATATGTAGAGGACAGTATTAGGCAATGGAACCGAACCATAATATGTCTCATGTTGTGTATTAGATAATGGTTATGCCCTGAAACTGTTATAACTTTAGATCAGGAGGGCAAAACATTAAAGTGTTTTAAGTGAGTGAGTGAGTATAGTTTTAAGCCGTTTTTAGCAATATTCCAGCAACATC